ACTCTTTCACGCTGACAGAAATTTGGTAGATAAAGTCACAAAGTTCACGACATACAGTACAGAACCTGCACGTTGCATCAGGAAAGGCTTAAAACTTAGTCCCAGTCTCTAAGTCATGCTCAGCAACAACCAGAAACAAGCAAGACAGAACAAGGTCCCCCTTTCTCTAGGTCTCTCCATGATAAATGGAAATACGTTTTTGCAGCCCTCTAACAGAGGCTGTGGAGGAGCTTTGCAAAGCACATCTGAGGGGGATAGGTAACACAGGATTATGTGATCTATAGCCCTAGCTTTAGAAATAATTCTTTAGGAAGATCCAAATCTACAAAGTCGCTCATTAATGCTATTTCTGTCATGCAGATCAACGCTCTTTTGTGTGGCAAGGCAGAATTTAGCAAATGATGGTTCTTATTTTGCCTTTTAAATGTATGGATCTGAAATGGCTTTAAAAAAAAAAAAAAGGCATGTTATACATTACCTTTCCCAATGACTACAAACATTTGGATCATCTGGGTTTAGGCATAGAGTAGTTTTGAGCAGAAAAGACAGAAAAAGCCCTTTTAGAATCCACCAGAATAGCATATGGACCACCATTGTTGTATCTAGATAAAGAAAAGAAAGTATAGCCATTAAAGACTATTTTGAAAAAAACATCCTTTCAGACATTTTAATCCTTGTTTTTGTGCAAATTCAAATACTGTGGAGTTGTACAAACTGAAATACTTGCAAAAAGCAATCAACTAAATACTAAAATTTAAAAAAAAAGTGCAGATGCATACTTAAAAGGAATTTATTCACTCAAACTTACTAAAATCCAACAATTCAATTGTTAAGCTGCTCAAGATATTGATAGCACCAACGGTTCTTCCAAAGAACACTTCTGATACTGCAGATTATTTTCATGGCTGTCTGTACTGACAAAATAAATAACTGAGGTAATTAAAACAATGTATTCTCCCATCAAACTACAGACAAATGGAAGAATAACCAACTATCCACTTTGAATAATTTAAATGAGGTTTACATGTGTCAATATAGTAGGCTAGAACTGAGACATATGCTTATTACATAACTGAAGGAAAATCAATTCACTTTTTAACTCTTAGAATGGGGAGTCATTTAGAATGACAGAGGTCAGCTTATTAGGTCACATCATGCAGAACATTAACACAGAATCAGAGAATCACAGAACAGTTGAGGTTGGAAGGGACCTCTGGAGATCATCTAGCCCAACCCCCCTGCTCAAGCAGGGTCCTCTAGAGCACATTGCCAGGATCACGAAATAAAAATATTTGCACTTAAGTTGGAAATAGATTGTATAAAAACTAATTACGGTCTCATCATCATCTTATAGTTCACCTATAAAACCTACCAATTTATACCTACTGATTACTCATTTGGACCTTTGAAACAAAAGTGGTACTGTTTGTCTAGAGGTTCCCAGCGACTTCAGCCAAAAATAAAAAGTAGACAGAAAATAAGAACCTGATTTTAAATGTAACTGCATCAGATATGTTAGTAGGTTAAATGTTAAGTCAGTAAAAGATATTTTTAAATATCCATTTTAGACATTTACATCTTCAATAATCCAAAATTCTAACCAAAAGTCCAATAAATTAGTCTTACTCCTGGCAACAAGATTGCCCTAAAAATAGATTGAATCTTCTTATGACCACCCAGCAAACACATGGGTCATTGCCTCATGATCCAGAACAGCAAAAGGGATGTTTCAGGGTTTGCTCTGCATGACACTGATGTACAACCCAGCATAAAGAAGTCATCACAAAGCAGAATGAACAGCAGAGGGATAGCCAGGAAGGTTGATCTGAAATTAGCTTCTGATTCAAAACCATCTAAGCCAGTTCAAGGACACCCATTGCCTTTATTGGACTTGAAGTCAAGTCCCCAGTGGGAGTAATGGCTCATCTTTTAAGTTATTTCCAGAGCTCTCCTAAGCTCAGTGATAGGTCTTAAGCCATGTAAGTCATTTTAATGTTAATGTTCCTCATGAAATGAATTTAAGTCTACGAGTGACCATTCTGTATGTGCAAGCTGTTTCAAAGCCCCATGGTGTCAATACAAAAGCATACTCCAGAAATTAAGAGGGCTGAAGAGAAAAGGGTATGAAATTTACTTCTGCTCATTCAAGAGAGGTTAGCTACACTTGTCCCAGACACTACTTCTCCATGAAGGAAAAGTGTATAGCACTGTTCACCTGCAAGTGCTTGCAGGACAAAAAAATCTAACAAGCCTAATGTTCAAAAACCATTTGAGCTTAGCACTTCAGAGTAGAGTTGAACTACGTTTTAATGTAACATGTAGCAATATATGTGAACTACAAAGTATTAGGCTCAACAAAATGACAGTCCTTTAACAACAGTATCTTCAAAAGATGCCTTTAGTATATTACCCTGACTATTATTTGAATAAAACCACATAGCAAAGAACAGGTTCTATTGAGCACTATTTTTATATGTTGCAATTTACCCCACGACAGTTTGCTACAGCTTTGATAGATGGCAACACTGAACAAATAGGACTAGAGAAAAGACTCTTTCCAATCGAAAGAAATAGTCATAGGAAGAGTAAGGCAAAATTGCTGAAGGAAATGCAATCCTTAAGCAGGTTTTTTTGTTTTCTTTTGGTTTTTGGTTTTTAATCAAAACATTGATCTGTCCTCAGTTCATTAATTTCCTGGGAACGTCAAGAGTCTGTGTTTATCACTAAATTAATCAAAGGCAGAAAAATAGTCTGCTTTCTACCTAAAAAGAGTGAGTCTTTTCTGATTTAACTAAATCTATATTTGAAATCTGTAACTCTCAGGGAGCTCAGTTTGATTCTTAAGATAATAATGTATAAGTTTAGTTTTTAAGCAAACATGAAAAGAGTTATTTATAAACCTTAATAGCACGTGGACTATTTGTTTAAAATGTATCTGAAAGAGGTTAAAATTGTTTTCTAAACTTTTAATGCTAATGCCATTTTATTATCTGTTTATAAATGAATTGCTTTGTGCAATGAATTTTCTAACCTTTTAAAGTCAGATGATATATCAGAAACATCCAACTCTCCAAATACAGCAGAATCTCATTTATCTTAAGTGTCTCTTTTTCTCATTCAAATGAAATATTTCACTTTGATCACTGTTAATAGAAAGGACCTCCTACCAAAATAGAATGGTTGATATTACAAGATTCAGAATAAAACCCTAAAAATAGGAGCACGTGTATTAAAAGCTAACACCAAAAATGAAGCCAGCAATGGCATGTAATACAATATTTTTAAACTTTTATTGTTCAGCATAATATATGCTACGTTTTTGCATTGTGTTTAATATTTTTAATGTATTTCCCAAGGAGGCAGCATCATCGTTCCAGGTGGACAATGTCTTCATTACAGATATAACTTGACTATATGAGCGTTTCCAGACCCTGCCTCTGCCACTCTCCGAAGGACAGGCAGATCTGACACGTAGGTCCTCCATGCAATCCCTAAATGGACTCTTAACTTCTTGTCTATACTGGCCTGTTTATTCTTTTCAGGAGTAAAATAAGTCAGTTTAGGTACAATTTGGCAGGAGAGAGGCTCTTTCCATCCAAAATATAATCTGGGTGATTTTTCACAAGTGTCTCACTCTCTGTTAATGATAACTGATTAGGTTAGGTATCTGTTATTCATTAAGCCATTTTCACATACTAGGCTCCTTTTTGAATGAATTTCAGTACTTCAGCTACAGTATTAATACAAGCCACTGGTTTCATTACAAAAGAATGGAAATGCATTCTCACTATTAAGCTACTAATTTTAGCTATAGAAAAACTACTAGGCGGCAAGTCATTGATTTACTCATCTGTGAACTCATTTTGCAAAAGCTTTGCTGGGGATTGTGCTAGAGTCTGCAAAGAAATTAGAAGTTGCAGATATCATTTAAACCAGATGAAGTACCATAAGAATGTAGGCAAAAACAGATTGTTACCCTCTTTTGCAGTTTATACCACAGGCTGAGGACCATAGTAGCTCACAGGATTGAGATCTAAATGCAAAGAAAGTAAGACCACAAAGAATCCTTTCTGAGTGAAGCAAATATTCCCTAAAGTGTTCTCAAGGTGCTGAGGACTTGGCTTTGGTAATACATCTGTAAAGGAGGACTATGATATTTTAAGAGCTTGGTGGGAAAACAGTCCAAAAAACAAAATCACAGTTTGGGTTGTTTTTTTTCTCCCTGAGAAATGCAATTTTATTTAAATTTCTCCTTTCCTCTCCTGGCTGACAGACTAGGAAATTTATCTAAAAATGACTGCTAGAGAATTTCCTGTTCAAGGTCAAAAGTAGTGAAACATTTCATTTTGACATTTCTGTCATAAAGCATTTCATAACATGACTTTGACATGAAACTCAGACAGAACTGCCATTCTACGACAAAGTTCCACACTGAATGCTTGTCTCAATTTGGGGTAAAAGAAGTTCTGGAACAGGAAAAACTGAAATTCCATGTCCAGCTCTAAGTAGGGAAAACATTTCCAAAAGTGGCTTTCAGTAGCATGCAATATTCTCAAATCCCTAGATATTTCTGAGGACTTTTCCTTTAGGTGCCTCAATGTATATGGTGTCCATTAACCCAGCCTGAATTTTTGCTGCAAAATTCCATGCAATGCATTTAACAAAAAGAGCTGCTTTAAAAAGTCTTACCTCAATGTGCTAAAAATTCCTAATGGATCCCGTTTTTACAGACTACCAGCACATGAAGACACACAGCGCATTAACAGGATAGCAGAAGAAAGCTCTTCAGAAGTTGCTTGGCACTGCGAGCAATCAATAGGAAAAACAGAAAACAAATGGGGTTAAAGAAGGTGTGTTTGGGGGAGTGGAAACAAGATAGAAATGAGATAAATTGTGATAAATATTTATATGTAATGAGAACACCGTGCTATACCAGACCAAAGCCCCCTATTCTGCTTTTGGCCAATAGCAAGCGCTTAGGAAAGAGTACAAAAAAGTGGCAAATATATAGTAATACTTCCCTTCTATATCCTCCAGCAATTTGCAGGTCTTTGACTTCCTCAGCAACAAGTGGTATCTTTGTGTTTAACAGCATTTGATGGATTTTTCTTCCTATAATTTCTCTAATCATTATTGATCTGTATGTAAATTTTAGTGTCAACAGCATCCTATGACAGTTTCACATCCTAGCCATGTACTGTATGAAATGCTTCGGTTCTCTGCCTGCAACCTTAATTTCATTTGATGCCTCCTTGCTCCTGTATTAGATGTGAACACCAGCACATCTTCCCTGTCTGTTCTTTGTGCCCCTCCTGATTTAATTTACTCTCTCACAACTCCCTCAGTCATTTTTCCCCAGCTGAAAAATGCTAGACCATTTAATTGTTTACTCTGAAGAAGGCATTCATACTTCTTATCACCTCAGTCATCTTCCTCTGTTTCTCTTCTAGTTCTGCTATATCCTATCTGAAAATTTTTTGGCTTGTTTTCTACTCATTTCCTAATAATTCTTAAATGTCAATTAGCACTCTTTAGCCACTAGTGAACAGTGAGCTTCCATTTTCATGGAATCATCTAATACAGACTTAAGATTTCATTCCTAAGGGGTAATAACTCAGAAATCAGCACTGTACATGTAAAACTAAAATTGTTTTCCCCATATGCATTACCGTACATTTCTCTATGCTGAATTTCATTGTCATTTCCTTACCCAGTCACTTAGTATCAGAAGGTCTTTTTCTAACCCTCTGCAATGAGCTTTCACTCTTTCTACCTTGAATAACATCAGCAAACTTTGTCACCTTGCTGTTCACCTCCCTTCCCAGATACCAGATGTGTACGTGCAGCAGCATTAACTCCAACACAGACCCCCACGGAATTCTGTTGCTGACATCCTTCCATTAGCAACATCAATCATTCATTTCCAGACTTTGTTTCCTATCGTTTAAATAGCATTTTTTTTTTTTTTTTTACATACGGGCTTTTTCTGATATCCCTACATGAAAGTTCAGTTTCTTTCAGGAACTTTAATGAGAGACCTTGCAAACGCTTTTCAGAAATCTAACTGGATCTTCTTGATCAATATGTTCACTGGCTCCTTCAAGGAACTTTAACAATTTATGAAGCCTTTACAAAGTCATGTTGATTCTTCATAAGCAGATTATATTTAACAACAGGTTCCATAATTCTGTTCTTAATTACAGTTTTTACCAAACAGGAAAACCATTGTGTGTGAGCAATTAGGAAAGATGCAAGAGAACAGTTAAGTCAGAAAACAAAAAGTTGGACTTCACTTAAGAAGCGTTAAAGTGACTGAGTGTTTGCTGATTACACCATTTTCGTCTCTAAGTAGTAGCAAGGTTCCAACCAGCTGCCCTCTGTGGCATTCCTCCTTCTCATCCCATCTGAAATTTTCATGATGGTTTAGGCAGGGGATCATCTAAATACACACTCATTTGGCTCTACATCAGATTTTGTTAGAAACAAGCTGTTACGAAAGCTAAATGAGGCCATGAGTTTCAGAACTGATCAGGAATTTTTTGAATGCCTCCATTTGTGCTTAATAACTTGAGATACTGCGAAAGAGCTGAATAATAGATAGCGCTCAGAGTACACACTGAAAAACAGCGTTTTTAATCTGGACAGTCAAACTCACTCAAACTCACTAGTCACCTCTAAAAATTGTCACCATGACAAACAGAAATATTGCTATTGACAGGTTGTGGTTTGTTTGTTTGTTTTAAATTGCAATTTAAAGATGTTTTAAACAGATAAACACTTCCAGGAAGGATCAGGTACTGAATATGAAAGCACTAACAATGAGATGGTTCTCTTCATCCAAACACAGAGAAATTCAAGCGACAGAAGAACTGGCATAACCATTGGACTGTGTTGTTGGTTCTTTCTACTGACTTCTTATATAATTAATATAGGAAGACAGTAGACAAGAAACTGCCTCTGTTAGCAAAAGATGGTATTTTGGTTAGCAGGGTCCATTTATGCATCTAGGAATCTTTGTTACTGCAGGCAAATTATTATCCCTTAGATGCGATGCAAAACAACTGGCCTATAATTTGTGCTACAAAGACCCTGCTGTCAGTCATCTATTCAGCTCTTCCATGTACTCCCTAAGCGCTGTCCTCTTTAAGGTTTGAGCACATGTCTGCCTGTAATTTCAAGAAGGCTGTTCAACAGCTGGAAATACTTGGTATAGAAATGTCACTATTATTTGCAAATATTCCTGATACCATTTTCTGACAGGATTCTCCTGTCACCTGGAGGTGACACAGACAAGGACAGAAACGGAGCTGACAGAGCCAGCGCAACTGCCTTTGACTTTCAGTGGATTTCCTTCACTGGCTCCTGCACTGCAGGAAGTTAGTCTTCTTCCCTGCAGAGGTCAGTCACAGCAGCGGCACAAGCTGGAACAGATTGCCAAAATATCCCCATCTGGGATCTTTCTTCCATTTTTCAGACGTTCATACAAGCTTGTCTCAACTTTGTCCTTCCAGCCATAGGGCTAATGCCAATTAATGTAAACAAGAAACTTAACTTTTCAGGATAAAACAATTCTACCCTCTCTGTGAAATCCTGTGCTGCTCGACTAAAGTTCATGGCAGAAGTTAAAGTGAATTTTGGGAAAGATATAAATTTAACAGCTATATGACATTTTCTATAATTAACATGAATTGGGAAATAAAAGAATAAAAGTGAAGTGTAGAGGTTTTACCAGTTTATGGGGAAGTCATCAGGGAAAAGCATGACGAGCTGCATCCTGAGTCCCCCTTGCTCAGTCTTAGTAGCACCCACCTCTGCTACATTGTTTAGTGGGGTAGGTGCTGCTCAGTACAAATAAAGGAACCAATTCCTTTCCTAAAAAAATGCCTATAAAATAAGGTCTTAAAGATTGGATAAATGCACCAGAGGTCCTAGCTGCTAGAGCACCCTGATGGCTTCTCCTTATATTCTTCGAAGCACAATAGCTCAGATTTCCTAAACTGGTTGGGGGACTGAGATGTCTGACTTAATAGGAACTGAGAATCCAAATCTCTTAAGTAGCTTTATATTTCTAAGCTGTAAAATATATCAGCATGAGTTGAAAATGCCACAGTAAATGTTGTTACAGTTACATGAACATCTCATGAAGAAATCCAAAAGTCTGCAGCAGCTCTCTGTTAAGCTGGCCTTCCACTGGAGCCTTTGGGAGCTTGGTAGAGAGCCGGCTGCAAAGCAGGAACGAATAATGAAATAAGCTCTTCTCCATCTATCAAATGCTATTTTTGGAAGTTCAGGATTGTTCCTTCAGTGCTCTCAGAGGAGAACTGGGTCAAAGTACCACAGAGACATGCCAGTAGGCAAGCAATGTAGGCAATTAGTTTACTTAAGGCCTTTGAATAATGTTCATGAAGAGCAAGGCTGGTGCATGAGTCTAGGATTCAGGAAACCTAAATTTAAATCATACTGTCAGCAACTTCAGGTGTGATACAGGGATAGATAAAGTGGGCTAGACTAAGGTAGCTTAAATTCCACCTAGAGTTCTGAATCTAGTATTTTCTGAAGGCTGGCTCTAAGCCTTCAAAGGAACCTAGGCAATAAAAAACAGCAGGCTTAGAAACTTCAGATGAAATTCTGGAAATACGAGTTCTCAAAGTCTTTTTTTTTTTTCCACAGGAAACTGGGGAAGGGAACTGACTGACCTTCCAGGTGCTTTGAGAATAAGCATATTACAAGCTGGAAAGTGGTTAGATACTGAAGGGCTCAGGTATAAACACAGTTGGCATTATCTGTCTGCTGTATGAGGTCAACATCAACATGCTAAGAAATACAGACATCATATTTTATCAGTATTTATCCAAATTCACATATACATGCATCCTTGTGCAAAGCAGAAGCACCAATCTGAAAAGCTATTATTCATTATATTACTAAATTTCTTTTTCTTAAATAGTTGAATAGTTAATCAAAAGCCCAGCAGAAATAGAATGAAAATATTACATTAATAATGCCTAAAAACATTGCTGAAACAGTGCCCAAATCCAAATAATTGCTGGCTCCTTTTCAGAAATGTCACCTAGGAAAAAAATTATCTATGATTTTCTGCCAATAATTTGGTACTTGAACTCAACAACCAGTGTAAAATTAGAAGCTAGCCCTTTAGTCATTTTGCCCTTTAAGTTATTAGTCCAAACTCAAGTTCATGGAAATGTTAGCGTTCTTTCTAGAGCCTAAGCCATGAACTGATCTTCTAAGCACTGCCAGTTAGCCAGGACAGGGAGAAAGAAGATGGCTGATATTTCACTAGCACTTTCTGCCAAAAGCAAACTGGTGGGCTTTAAAAGCAAAATCCAAATACCCTGCAGTATTTCACCAGGAGAAGACCTCCTGCAAGCTAAGGAGAAATTGCTAAGAAATCCTCCCAATGCAGTCATCTCTGGGCTTCCTTAATTAAGCCATGGTAAACAAGGAAAGTCTGAAAGAGCCACTTTATGTATTTGCCTTCTTAACCCTCCTACTCTGATCTCACCATCTGACCATTGCCATAAAGAGGATAGCAGAGAAGTGTAGCAACACTGCAGTTCGCCCCAAACAGATCCCAATCGTTTCGCTCAGTGGAATTTTAAAGCTGTGGGCATCGTGTGGGGAGTCTCACTCTGTATTGAGTTAACGGTACATTTATATTCACCATCCCATGCATATTTCAGACATTCCTTTGCAAAAATTACTCCAGAAGAGAAAAAGGAAAGTAAGCTGACACACATCAAAAAGCTCTTCTCCTGACAAGGTTAGTTCTTTTAGGACAACT